AAGGATCCGCCATTGGTTGGTGGCTCTCACTTGTGCCCTTTCCAAGCACAACCCCCCCCGCCCTGAATCGTGATTGGCGCCCTTTGGCAATCGCAGGCCGAAGTTCTCTGGATGATCATAGGGGCATGTGCAAGAAACATGAAGAAACCACCCACGATCGTAGAAGCCTCCACAACATCCTGGAGTTCTCCTGGCTGTCGAAACGCATAGAAGCCGCCAGCACCAGTTGGCAAACTGGCACGTGACTCGCCAAAGCCAGTTGAGGAGCTGTAGGCCAATTTCACCAGGACACCACCATGGGACTCATTTGGAGAGGATTTGTAGCTTTGGCACATGCCCCGTCCGCTATTCCGGACCGCAATCTCAGGAGGGGGCTGAATCTTGAGCATCTCATCCATCAGGTAGAAGCGTGTCCTAGCCGCCAACCCCTGCCCTGGAAAAGCAATCCCGCATCCACGAAGCAGGTTGCTTTTCTGGTCGCTTCAGTGAAAGAGAGTCGCCTGAGAACAAGGACAGCGTCTGGCAAAGGTCAGTCGGAGCCATTGACCTCTGCAACAATAATATATATATATATATATATATATATATATATATTGTCGGTGTGTGTGTGTGTGTTGATGAGTTGTTTGCTAAATGGGGCGTGATTAAGGGCCATTGCAGGGAATCATGAAGGAAACGCTATGCCAAAACAGGGTAGTCTGCACAAGTAGTCTTCTTCCATAGCCAACAGTTCGCATCCGCTAAAGAAAAGGCATGGATTCTTGCCAGGCATGCTACTCTTTCACTGTCTGATGCCTGCTTGGAAAGATCTGAGGAAGGTTAACCCTTGCTTTTCGACTGCCGCTGCCGAACTATTGTCGACAGACGCCTCAAACCAAAGCAAAGCACGCCATGCAATTTATTCCGGACACCCCAAAACACTGCTTGTTCCAAGCCTCTACCTCTCTGCCCTACCATGCAAAATCCAGACAACAAGTCATCAAAGATTGCTCCAGAGACTGCCCCCCTTTCAGCTGTAAATCATCTTCGTGAGGTTTCACAAAACACGTACCCCCCCGTTCCTTGCGGTTGCGATTGTTGGGGCAACTCAACACTCGTGGGGGGCTTCCCGGTAGAAAAGAGCGGCAAGCCTTCAATGCAAGGGGCCATGATGGTCGCAAGCCAAAGCGTTGGCTTGACAGCGCTACCAAGGTCGCCCGAAGAGTCACAGTCCAAGGTTACAATCACTCCGAGCGTTGCATCCACGAGCAATTCGAGCCCCTTGACAAGCTCTTGTGTGTGTGCGTGATCAACTGCTTGCAGACTTACTTGGCATCTCGGTATTATTGCGTGGAAATTGAGCTTTGCTTGAGATCCAATTTCAGTGGGTCTGTAGAACCGGATGCTCTTTTGTCGGGCTAAGTCTTAATGACGCCTTCCAAGAGTCCAGGCTCCGCCCACCAGCCGTTCCAGCCCTCCCCTCTCCTGAGGAAAGGCTCTCTAGCCCACGACCTCAGCGCGGTTTGTCGCCAACTATCAAAGTAGATGTTCTGGGCCTTGCCAGGATGTAATTGTGGGGCTACTACTAGGTAAACAAGATAGAACCTGCTGGTTGGCTAGCAGGCAAAGGAGAAAATGCATGTCTCAGTCAGTGAAGCGCTCCTGCAAAAATATGTCCAAGATACAGCATATGGTTGAGAATGGTGCAAGTTGCTGTAAAATATTGGCCGTCCGCGTAAAGATTATGACCCACCTTCCCTCCGACAGTGATAGAAGTGGACAGGGGCCTTTCTCAGAAGGAAGAAATCTTCCCAAACATTCCCGCCTTTCATGATTGGAGGAAGGAAGGATCACGGGCAAAGAGCATGGAAATCCTGCATCGTGTGTGTGTGTGTGTCTGTTGTGTGCGCGCACCTTTGACAACAATCGTCCAGCGGCCTTTGTTTCCTTCTTGGCTCGGGGCAACCCATCCGGGCTGCAGAGAGCAACTCAGAAGCCTTTTGCGAACATCAGCACGCCAAAAACGAATGCCTAGATCATCCACATCATCTGATCCGGTAGCCCGAGTCTGGCCTCTGGTTTGCAACTGCAAAGCCTGGCCTCACACGTCACAAGGGACACCTCCGCGTCCATCTCGCCCAAGCCAAGGTCCAAGGCTGCTGGCATTGGCATGGCTCTTTAGCCAACTTGAAGAGCACTCAGAGCATGGTATGTGACAAGGGCGGAGGCCGGTTGGACAACGCTCAGCAAGCAGCGCACCTACATGCAACAAGCTTGGGTCACTTGTTATTTTGTAGCTAAGAGCTCCATAAGACCACCTATCTGATCAGCTTCAGAAGAGAAGACATGGAATTGCGATATGAAACTGGTCACAACCAACTTCGAGGCAGTGAAGAATGCAACCACTCTCAATGTTTCAGTCATACACTCCCAAAACAATTCTCCCAATTCCAGGGTCATGATGCAGACTGCCCCTTCGAACCCTTTTCAGGGAAACACGTGCAGGTTTGTCTGGGTACAACTTTTGCTGGCTCGAAAGCCCATCCCATGGTTTGTGTTCCTCAGACTTCTGGGTCTCGGGTCGGTCGGGGGGGGGGGGCAATGTGGCCCCGCGCTTGACCTGCAGGTCCCTGATGAAGGGATTGTCCGACGGCGCCGGCCTCGGCCGGCGCTAGCGCTGGCCGAGGAACCCAGGCCGAGCCTCCGGTTGCTAACACTCATAACCCTACATGTCCCTTGTGGCACCAAACTGGAACCAAAGTGAAAGCAGCGCCATCAATTTTTGAACCAAACTCACCAAAAAGGACGGCGATGCTCCTGATAACTAGACGCAGCCTGGTTGTTTTGGGTGCTTGCCCGGGAAATACAGGTTTTAACTGAACTTGTTGGACGCTGCCCGAAAAGCTTTCCAGTAAGTGGCTGCATGTTGAGAAGGAGACACATGTGACAACCATGAATGCCATTCTCTGGCTGTTGGTTGGGTGTTGGTGTTCAAACACGAATGAGAAGCAACACTGTTATCCATCTCAAGATGCCATGCTTGACATCATTGGGCGGGCTCAGCTGCATAGCCACCCTCAATTAGAGAAAAACAAACCGCGGCATCAATTTCCTGGGTTTGTGCGCCATCTCTCCCAAACATGGACTCGGACTGGAGCACTCTACCGAAAGAATCTCAGCAAAGGTGCATGACTCAAAGAATACGCCCCCTGCAGCTGGTTTCATTGCTCTTTTGCGGCTTCCCTAGATCCTTCGAATATTTGTTTGCCGTCCGGGAACCAAAGGTTCCTGCTCCGCTGGGACTTTCTGAGCGGCGTCCAAAAAGTCCAAGCTTTGTGTTTGCCACTCCAATGATCTTCCCACAAAGTATGACGCTCAACTTTGAAACCTGGCTTTGCAGACTGTCGCTTCGCTCATGGGAAGCCTCGCCACCCTCCTCAAACACCCACGCTCGACCCCAAGGCTCCCCGACGGATAATCGGGGTCTGTGTCGGGCAACCCATCCCCCCGCAGAATGTACCTCGAGGAGAATTGCACGCAGAAGCAGGTATCACTAAGAGAGGGCAGCCAGTGTTCAACGTATTTCTCTTCCTCCAGTGTGTGAATTGAAGTCCAGGGCTACATTGCAGAAGTCCAAACCAGCCACCAGAACTCGTGGGCACTGTCGTTGAGCTGCCGCCTACCTATCCAATCTCCAATCTCCGCAAAACAGTTGCGACGCAAGACGCTCTGTTGGCAGCAAACAAGAGGGCTTAGGACTGGGACAGGTTTGACTTCGAAACGTAGAGTGCAGCAATCTCGTCTTGGACCACTGATTATTGAAGGTGGTTGGTGGGTTGATTGCCCTTGCCCATAGTGGTGCTCGCAAACAAACCTTCTGGTTGTGCCCCGCTTCACCCGAGGGATGCTGACAAGATATGATAAGCTTGTTTCCAACAAGACGCTTGGCTTCTGTGCCAAGACCGCTGTGCAAACAAGATCGCCCCAGCTCACTTCCCTTCTGGGCATATTCCGCTTCCCGCGCTTGCCTGACTCCCCTTTTTCCAGAGAACAAGTCAGACGTGCCATGGTCGAGCTGGAGGCCCCATGCTTGCTGCAGACATCTGTGTGCTTGGTGGTTCAGAGGCGGGCACAAAGCGCTCGAGAAGCAGGGAGCGAAAGAGAGAGGGAGAAGGGAGTAGAAACGAGAAAGAGAAAGTGAAAATGAGAGAGGGGGAGAGAGAAGAGAGAGGGAGAGAAAGAGAGAGAGAGAGAGAGAGAGACTGGCACAAAAGATTGCCCAGAAGGAAAAAGCAGAGCGAAACCTACCTCAGTTCTGCACAGTTGTTACCAGGCGCTGCCGGTGAATATAACCGAAAGAGCGGGTGGCACGTTTCAACGTAATCTAAAGACCCGGTGCTGATCTTCGGCTAAAAGCCGAAAACCCATCGTGGCAGTCGCCGTAAGTAGGTGTCCCCTTGGAGTCCCGCCTGTCCCGAAACACTCACCTTCCAGCCCACTTTGAGCGGGAAACGAACATTCAGCCGGCAGCTCTCAGCCTCTCTCGCTGGCGCTGGCGCCTGGCGAAGCCACAGGGGCCGTATGCTCAGGGGCTGAGAGAGATCCTCGTTGGGCTCGGGCTCCAAGCGGGCCAGGGGCTCCCAGTCGCAAATCCCCTCCTGATTCATGAGGGTCGCGTTCCAATTTGCCAAGCGACAAAAGCCCAACTTGTAGCAGCTATTGAGACACAAATCGAGGCAAGGAGAGAGGCTTCACGCAGGGGCGACTACCAAACAATCTTCGCGAATGCTTCTGCGCTCCCATTTTCCAGCCTTCTCTTGTTTAGAGAAGCGAGCTCTTCTTATGCGATTTTGAGTATCGGGTGAGACTTGTCTCGTGCACGGCCTAAAACTTGAAAACAGGCTGCCAGCGGCTACCGCAAAGGCGAAGAGTGGAGGCTGATCCTGAGACCCTCGAACCGTGAGATGCGCGAATCATCTCGTCCCTTGTAGAAAGTCCCAGCCCCGATTCGGCCACTCCGCTCACGGCGGCTGTGCTCCCCCATTTCCCATAGCCGCGGGTCTGCGGGGCGTCTCCACCACCCGCCCCGAGGGCATCTTCTGCCAGGAGCCACGAAGCTTCTTGGCCTCGCGCGGGAGGGCCAGGCCGAAGCACTCGTTGCAGGGCACCTCGTCCAACTGCGGGAAGTCGCCCACCGTGATGGAGGACCAGGGCATGATCTCCTCCAGCCTCAGATTCGCTTACCAACCAGGCCACAGCCCACACCCAACCTAACCCAACCCCAGTCCAATTCACGCCCCAACCCAACCTAACCTCCTTCCTCAACCGCGCCTCAGACCCTCGAAGCTGTAGATCCCCCCGCTGCTCACGGCCTCGCTCCGCGGCAGCCGCTCGTCGTCCACCGCAAAGTCGTCCTCGCTGTCCGGGGCCTCACATCCAAAGTGGGTTCCAGGAAACGAGAGCAACTTCGGCTTCGTGTGCTAAAGTTGGGCTGGGATCAGGGTTTGGAAAGGCCATGCTCAACTCACCAAAGTTCTTGGCGACTTTTTGGGCATGTTGGATCACCAACGTTCCGCCTTTCAGGCACCGAAGGCGCCCCCGGGCTCTCTCACCCCGCCTGGTTCCCCGCGAGGCGGGCGGCGTAGACCGCGGCCCCCAGCACCGCGGCGTGGTCCGGGCGCAGGACCTCGCTGGGCTGCTGGCCCCGGAAGAAGTCCTTCACCTGTCGGTGGGATCTGAGGGATCGATCCACTCCCCGGTTGGGGTTTAGTGGACCAAATTCAAGCAAGGGAACCAAGGAGAAAAAATGTACCCTTCTGGCAACACGGTAGCTGAGTCTGCCAAAAGCCCTGCTCATCCTTACGAAAAGCGCCAAATGGACTCGTCCGGCAACTTCTTCCGCCCAATGTTACGACATCTCAACACTCGTCTCTGTTCGGCAGCAAGCACTTGGGCCATTCCAATAACGCCCCTCATATTGATGGACGACGAGATCAAAGTGCAAAAGGGCGAGAGTTTACACCGATGTGTCTTGTTGTAGGTCTCACGTATAAGCTTTCGCTGATGGCACCATGGATAGATGCGTCAGATTGGCTGCAGCCCTAAACTTCTGAAGTTGATTGAAGCACAAAGGTGCAAAATGGTGATCTGCATTGTCAAGAGAACCAAGTTGTTGATTGGATCGCACAGGCACAACATGTACGTAAACACTGAACTGAACCCTGAAACTCATTGGAAGCACGCAGGTCAAAATGCAATGTCAAACCCACACCCACAATCCTGAACGACGCTAAAGCTGAACTTTCCCCATCAAGCCCCTCCCCAGCAATCCATGACCAAATCCGAGCCCCAGTTTTGACCAACATGAGCGCGGAGTCGCCAACTAAACCAAAGGCAACTCCCGACTCGGACCGAAATCAACTGACGAACAGCCAGCTGCGCCGAGGCGCTAGGCGCCGGAACCGGGGGATCCGGGAGGAGCCTCCCACAAGGACCACATCCACTCCGTTGCGCTCGAGGCCCGACTCCTGACTCTTCCATGGGAATCAGCACGCTACCGCACAACGGGTGTCTTTTTGAAACAGAGGAAAGGATCTGTGGGGTGGGACCCTGCAGTTGTGCGCCAGCAATGCTTGTTGCTCCACCTGATGTTTGAACAGGTATCATCTCTGTATTGTCATTCACATAAAAGTACACCACATCTCTCAATCGCTGTGTCTCGCCACGGGATGGGGACGGTAACAACAAGAAGAAAAACAACTAGTTGACCAACACACACACACACAACCTCGCTTGACTGGATACACGTGTTGCGAAATCAGGTCCAAAATACATTGTCTCATGCCGGCTCTTTCGTCCTTCGCTACAAAGTTCTCTCTCTCTCTCTCTCATCACCCTTTGGCTGCGCTGATACTCTTGCTTGTGCCTCCGCATGTTGGGCTCTGTCACTCTGCTCCTTGCAACAATGTGTCAAAATAAGGGTTCTCCGCTTTCTTTTGAAGAGGAAACTGCCCAGGAAACCGACCTTGACAGGAGGAGCCCTATTTTGAGCCCTATCCAAATCCATGGGCTGCATTCTCAGATGCAGACAGCGTCCGGCACCAAAGAGCCAAGTTTGGGATCCCCCAACCATTCACGTGCTGCTTTTGTTCGGCACGTGTGCGTTTGAGCACGCCGAAGGCTTCACAGATTTCCGCATTTCCGCGACCTTTTCACACCCAGTCCCACACCTCCGAAGCTGAAGCAAAAAGTAGCGACGAACATCTGTCCTCCAAGCAGATGTCGAAGATCTCCAGCAGGCAGTCGATGTCCCGGCTGCAGAACTCCTCGAAGTAACTCCGCGACATAGCCACGCAGTAGTCGTTGCCCTCCACCAACGCCTAGCAGGGACCCGATCTGCACATGTGAAAACCTGGAAACTCCCTTCCGCCAAGATCCCACTCCATGGTAAAGCCAGTGGACCCAACAAGCACCACATAAACAGATAGGCGCATACCACGCACATCCCAGGTTTCAGAACATGGCCTGGTCTCAAAATCGGAGAACCCCGCCATGACAAAAAGATGTGTGGCTCCCCTTCAACACCATCTCAACAAGTACCCTCAACAAAAGGACATGCCACATCCCCAACATCCCCACATCTCAACCTCCAATCCCCCGGCACAAAACAAAACAGCCGGAGGCTTCTTTGGCCTCCACGTTCACCCGGGTCTGGTTCCATTGGGACAGCTTCCGCTTGGCACTCTCGCAGGCCATGCTCAGCCGCAACTGCGCCACCATGTCCTTGAGCAAACATCCCGTCGACCCGTGTGGGAGATTCTCAAAACGGCGGTCCCCCTTGTGGCTGATATTTAAAAGGGAAAACCAGAATGAAAACATTGACCATTTGAGGGAATCCTGTTTTGAGAAACATGCGCGATATGGTTGTGTGTGTGTGCCTGTGTCTTCTGAGAGGATCCCTTTTTCAGGTTGGTTTGAAGAGCCAAGACAGGGAGACCCCTATTTTGCATGTGGATTTGTCTCATGCTTTCCCTTGGATTCCCCTTTAAAGCGACCACGAAAAGGGAACGAACAGCGACATAGGCAATAGCACCTGTTGCCGGCACCCTCGATATCCTTCCCAGACATCAGGCTGATGGCAATATACACAATTCCTCATCCGATTCGTCGCAGCGGGATTCCTTGGTAGAACCCTCATGTTTGTCCAATGCCTGACAAGACAAGTGGCAACCATCCCTGCAGCCGCAAAATAGGTAGGTCTTTTGACTATGGCCCACATGAGCCACCCTCAATCAAAGATTCCTCGCACCCACGCGAGTGTGTGGGATGAACACCAGAGAGGTGCACCCCGTCGAGAGAAAGGAGGCGCGCTTTCCACCATTCAGGATGACCCAATGATCCTGAAGATATTGTTCAGCGCGTGTGTTTTGCCTGACAGGCAGAGCACCTTTTGTGCGATTTGGCATGATTATCCCTGTTGGGTGAGATTCATGTAGCAAGAAGTTGTTGGCTTTGCAGGGATACCTACGCTCATGCTAAGGTCCATCCCACGATGATGGAACAGTCCACCGGTCCATCTTCAAAACTACCCTCTTAAGTTGTGGTTTCAAGGGAGACCATCCTCGAACCCTCAGTGACCCAGTTTTGAGAACCCTCAGGGAGCCAGCCCTCGCTCCCTCCAAACACCGGTCCTCGGACAAGTCCAAGCCCAGGCGGAGCCGGATGTCAGTGAGGCAGAACTTCACCAGCAAGGAGTCCAAATCCACAAACTCACTGCCCACAGCGCGCCTCAACAACTGGCGATTTCTTCTGGCTGGGGTCTGGGTATGAAAAGGGTAGTTGCCAAGCTTCTATCCAATGAAATGATAATGAAACACGAGGAAACCAACCACGTTGGATGTCAAACAGCATCTTTTGGAGTTAATGCTCGCATACCCTCTGGCAGGGCCGGAGGTTGGCGAGTGCACAGAAGTCACGCTTGCAGAAGCGATAGATGCCATGAAAGAGCTGGCTTCTCGGAGTGGATTCTGTCATCCCGCCGCTGTCCCGAGCAATTTAGCCATTTTGATGGGCCTTGATGTTTGACGCTGTGCTTGAACATTGCCCCGTATGTTCATTTACGTGGCCGTCGGTCGGGTTGCAACTCGCATGTCCAATGCAACAAGGTGCACTGCGCATTGCCATCCTCTGAACAAAATCCTTCAGTTGGGAAGGCTGAAACGCTATGAATATTGGGAGCCTTGCTTTCCGCTCCGCGAGCGTGGCTGGCAGCGTTCCCTTTTCATACCAAACTCTTTGAGGGGGTTGGACATCATTTGCAAAGCAGGAGAGCCAAGGCAAAAGCAGCACCAAGGCGATTTCACACCAACAATGTCCTCTAGTTTGAGATCGCCTGAAAACGGATAAAATATAGGGCCCTGGCAAAATCCACCAAACTCCCCCAGCTGCAAAACAAAGAATCTCCTGGCTGCCACAGGCACTCGCAGAGACACTTGCCCTGCAACGTGAGCAGGCAGAAGTCGCAGTAACAGGCCCCAAAGTCCTTGGCCAAACTCAAAGCTCTCGCTATCAGCTGGCTACATTGCTACATATCACGCAAGCCATTACCTTGCTCGCAAAGTCGCCAAGAATCCGGAAAAAACAAAGCCGACAACAACACTCAAGAAGAGCAACCACGCCAAAAACCTGCGCGCGGTCGCAACCAGGGCGCCAGCACCAGCACATCCCGTGGCACGTCCCGGGGGTTGGTCAAGGAGAAGGCGATGGCCGCGGCCGTGGGAGCCTTGACCAAGGCCAAAACCTCCAGCTGAGCCATGCGCAGAGCCTCCTGCAGAGCGCGCCTGCGTTCGTTCGCTCGCTCGGAGGGGATCTGGGATGTGGGACCCGGGGGCAGCCACCCGTTTTGGGTTTGTTGGGGGAGAATTCGGGCCGAGAATGGCTTCGATTGTGAGGCTCCCAGCTTTGTGGTTTCCACGCCGTGCCTTTGCTGCTTGCCGTACTTGGCCGGCACCGTCACTACTGCCGCCTTCACGTGCACCCCAAGGCATTGCTCCACTTGCCGCTTCATCTGCTGCAGCAAAATGGCCAGGACCTGGCGAACGCAAAGGCTCCTACTCATCAAAACGTCCTGGCCATGGCCTCCGTGGGATTTATGTCAAACTCCGAGGTGAAAGAGCATCTTTGAATTTCCGGGCCGCCAAGGAGTCATTGGTGGCAACTGAATTATTTATTCTTCGCAGCGTGCGTGGCAACCTGACTGCAGATCTGGTTGTGAACGTGGCCTATGCATCGATGGTGACAATCTACAAACTTGCCTCCTAGTGAGGTTGCCAAAGGTCGGTTTTCTTCTGCCCGTGAAATGTGCCACATCTAAAGTAAGCTCTCGGGGCCCCACGCTATGTTCGAACAGACATTGAAGGATGAGAGTTGTCGGCACAAAATGTCTGTCTGAAACGGTGTCCGGGGCTCAAATGGGTTGGAATGCCGCCTGTTTAAGGTACTGGAATCGACTTAGATCTGCTCAAAGTCCTACGTGGGTCCAGGGACAAAGAGTAACAAGTATGTGAACTTGACATAAAATGATGCCAAATCCTGGTCACTTGTGTCACCAGCAAGCCCCTCCAACCCGGCAACAGTGTTGAAAGCTCCTGGCCAACCCCCAAAACTGCTTTCCCAAAAAACACATGTTCGTCGACTATCCCGTTGACCTTGTGCCAACACTTGCAACACCCCCAAATCCCACAACCCCACAACCCCGCAACCCCTTAACCGCCCACCCCCAACCCTTTGGTGCTTAAGTTCTTTTCCGAAGCCATATGCGTTCGGGATATCTCCCCTCTCTCCCTCCACCCCCAACCCCGCCTCCCCAGGCTCCAGGATCCTCTCCTTGCCCCGGTCCCTCACGCGGTACATGGCGCTGCCGTCGTCGCCCTTCACCACCTGCAGATCAGGAAACGCGGCGCCAATTCGCAGTGGCCCTTGGAGAAAAAATGCGCCCCCCTCCCCCTTTTTTGCTAGTTGACTTTAAATGGAAACCCCAGCAAAGGAGGAAAGGCACCCACTGGAGGTCTGGCTCTTGAAATCCATGCGCCAAGAAGCGGTTTGCCTGCTACGACAATCCAAGTCACAACTTGCAATCCACGCCCGTGATTGCTTCGACCATGGCATTTAGGCTGTGCAGACTCTGTAGACTATGCTTATGTTGCAATCATTATATGGTCAGTGAGAATGCAAAGTCTATGTTTTTTAGCAAGAGAGCCAAAACACGGATGAATGCACCTCTGATTGCTAAATAGAAGAGAATGGCCCCTGGCAGCGGCGGGTTGCCTCTGTTGCATCACCCTGAACAGTAATGCCCTAAATGTCGAAGAAGCAAACCAGGGTGTTGCTATGTTGCCATGTGTTGCACTATTGCATAGTTGGCCAGCTTTCTCTTCAGGGAATCCACGGTATGTGTCAAAACCACAAAGCCTTCCTCCACAACTCCGGGAAACGAATCCGTGCACCGCCCCAACTCACGCCAAAAGAGCGGTGTGCTGGAAGCTGTAAAACCCAAGGCCGTGAACCAACAGGGGATGGCAAAGGTGGAGACTATGGATTCATCAAAAAGCTGCTGATTGATTGAGGATGCAACCTTGAAGCATCCACCCCAACGAGCGTTGCGCTCCCCAAGCAAACTCTACTTCGGCTTGGTCCTGGATTCCTGTCAGCATTGGATTCACATTCACCATCCCGCCATATCATCATGGCTAGCCACCAGTCCGCCCAAACAGATTGCCCCGTTTGCATACCCCGACATGGACTTAGACGTGGCAAAGCGTGTGGCTTGCAGCACCTGTTGGCATTGTCAAAAATGCGAATCCGGCTACGAATGTCCACAGGAACACCGCCTCCCATTCTGCGTGCACGGCCCGCCTGCGCGGTGCTCCGGAGCCGCTGGGCCCAGGGGCTGTCGAAGGAGGCCCCCAGCAGCCGCTGGGGCGCGAAGATAGTGTTCGCCAAATTCGCGGACGCCTGACGCCCCAACCTCCCGGAAACCTCCCCCCTCCAATGTATGTATGTATGTATGTATGTATGTATGTATGCATGCATGCAAGTATGCAATGCAATGTCATGCAATGTAATGCAATGTAATGCAATGTAATGCAATGTCATGCAATGTCATGCAATGTAATGCAATGGAATGCAATCCAATGCAATGGAATGCAATGTCATGACATGTAATGCAATGTAATGCAATGCAATGTGATGCAATGCAATGCAATGTAATCGAGGTTGTTCTGATTGCAATGTAATGTACTGTAATGAAATGAAATGGCATGTAATGTAATGTAATGTAACGCAAGGTAATGTAAGATAATGTAACGCAAGGTAATGTAAGATAATGTAATGTAACGAAAGGTAATGTAAGATAATGTATGGTAATGTAATGTAATGTAATGTAATGTAATGCAATGTAATGTAATGTATGCATGCATGTGCATGTCCATTTGTATGCGTATGAGTATGTGCACATGTATATGTGCACGCATGTGTGTGTGTGTATGTGTTCACGCATGCTTGGATGTATGTACATGTATGCAAAGATATGTGTAGGCGTAGGTATATGACTATGCATATATGTACAAGTATACGTGTTGGTATGCATGTAGGTGCATGTAAAGGCATCGTTATACGAGCGTGTGAAGAAATAGTTGAAGAAGGGGTGCAAGCACAGGTGCACGCATAGGTGTGAGCATAGGAGAATGTATAACCTGTGCCACATAGCTCCTTCTTGGTTTGACTCCTTTCAATGATCCACGCTCAAGGCACCCCGTGGCACCCTTCTGGAATCGCAAGTAGAGCAAAGGGTCAAAAGCGAGACACCCTACAACAAGGCCCGTTCCAACCCCTCAACCCTCTCTGCCTGCTCAACGGCGGCTTCCCCCACTACAGGCCCCGTGCAGTCCAGGAAGCCCACGCAGTTGGGGGTGGCCAGGCACCCCCGATCGTTCCTCAGAGAACAGAGCCAATCCGGGCCAAGAAGCGAGAGAGAGAGAGAGAGGAGGGAGAGACACAGAGAGAGAGAGAGAGAGAGCGAGAGAGAGAGAGGGAAAGAGAGAGACAGAGAGAAGAGAGAGCGCGAGTGAAAGGAGGGAGCGAAGGATAAACAAATAAGCTCAGGTGATATCCCCAACAGCAGGAGTTGCCAGAACTCGGAACCGCCCCACACTTCCCGGAACCCCTTCTCGGAACCGCCCCGTGCATCTCCGATGCCCTTCTCGGAACAGAGACGGAGAAGGAGACAGAGATAGAGATAGAGAGATGGAGATGGAAATGGAGATGGAGATGGAGATAAACATGGAGATAGAGGCAGAGAAAGAAAAAGCAAGAAAGAAAGAAAGAAAGAAAGAAAGAAAGAAAGAAAGAAAGAAAGCAAGAAAGAAAGAAAGAAAGAAAGCAAGAAAGAAAGAAAGAAAGAACTAAAGAAAGAACTAAAGAAAGAACTAAAGAAGGAAAGGAAGAAAGAAAAACAGATAGAAAGCAAGCAAGAAAGAAAATAATTACAGAAAGAAGGAGAGACCCGGAAAGTTGAGCTGTCACATTCTCCGATTAAGCAAAATGGTTCGCAGCACACAATACAGTACATATTGTTTTTTACGTCTACCGGCTTGCTGCTGTGTCAACTGGCTTCGCAATCCCAAATTTCTCCAGAAACTCTCACTGCTGTTTTCTGATCGTCCCCTAAAATGGCTGGTGTGCTCTCGATTGCCCTTGAACCAAGCAAGGAGGGTCCATGTTGAGAAACTCCCACAAGTGCGGCAAGGCTCGGCACGATGAGCACATCCCCGTCGCGCCAGAGCCCGATGCGGCAGCAGGAAGTGCCCAGATCGATGCCCACCGCCGCATGCGCGCGCATGGCTCACAAGGCTCATGGCAGCCCCGGGGCTCAGAACGCGGCGTTTGATACCCGTGCTGGCTACAACATGTGGCCCTAACAGACTTGTTGTTGCCGAAAGCTGGCTGCAAAATGGAGAAAAAGGGCGGAAATGCTGCCACTCAGTTCAGCGCAAAGAATCAGTGGGAAGGTGGGTACCGTGGGTGTTGATTGCAATTTGTGTAAAACATCGCGGTCCTGCGCTCCGTTGAAGGTATGTTTTGGTCTGTGATGTCTGTGGCCAAAATGCTGGCCTTGATTTTGGGGCAACTTCTTGGCGCTTTTGACTCACTCATGAGCAGACCGAGGAAATTGGCGCCAGTGGAACGGGGGGCTGGGATACTTCCTGCGGCCTCTTGTGATCTTGAAAAAATCCGATCCAATTGCTCTCTGCCGGCTTGAGAATCTCAGGTTGCAGTGGGCGCGAAGTGCTTTTGCCATGTGAGAGGGACCGCATGCAATGGGCGCACCCACGAGCCAAGAACTGCATAGGGCAAATGCCGCAGTAAGCAAGTCGCTCGGGCTGGAGGAAAAGCAAATGGGTTGGTATCGAAACTAGAGATTGACCCCTCCAGATCGCTGGTTTCCTCAAGCACGGCCAAACCAGGGCATTTCACCAGGTTTCCCTGCAGAGGTTTTGGTGTCGATGCCTTGATTGAAGGGGCCTTGAATCGAAGTGTGCCAATAGGCTTCTGGGGGCATAAGTGACAACAAGGAGCACATTGTCATGTTAAACCACCCCAGTTGAACTGACTCTAACCACTCGGAAGGGTGCGGTGTGAGGGTTGCAGAGCGCATAGCCTTGCTAGTTTTGCCATTTACAAAGCAAGGAGTTTAGGTCCATTGCAACTGCTCGGGAATGACGGCGCTTCATCCGTCCTCTTTATCTGGCTACATCGTGCTATCAAATTCGAGTGTTTAGGCCCAAACTTTTTCAGACCTTGTTCGCCTGTATGTTCAGGTAGCGGAAAGTTGTGCGAGAAAGTTGTTGCGGTGCTGTTGTCATTGGGGGGGGGGGGAAATCCCGGAGGGCAACAACAGATCTGAAGCGCGGCGGCGTGGCGCAAGCGAGCAAGCGCCGAAGCCGAAGACGAGTGCGAAGCCATGGGCTCATCTGGGACCGGCTAAACAGTCTTTCTTCTGTGTGCTGGTCGCTTGTGAGACGAAAAATGAGGCAGTGACGACATGCGAGCATTGATGTTCTTTCGAATCACAGCCGTTTCCTGCTATCCCGTTCTGAGACCAAAGTGAATGGTTGATACGTGTGCATGCTCGCAATTGTTGCTACTCTATGCAGAAGCAAACGATACCTCAACAGCTGACCCCTTGCTGAAAACCCATCGGCCGTAGATGCTTACGTTGTCATGCGACCCCTCAATGCAACCGTTGTTATTGCACTAAGAAGTAGAATCCTGTTGCTGAATTGTCCGAGTGCTTACAGTACCGGCAATGTGAACCGTAGCTGCGGCCCGAGTTCGCGGACATCCTCTCAGCCAAAGCTTCAGGATTCGGGAAGCATCAACGACGGGTTTGTCTCAATGTCACTCACATGCTCTGACTTTGAACTCAATGGGTTTTGCTAGCATTTTGGTCTCTGCGCTGGGGGAAACCGGACACTCAACCTCTACCCCTTATCAGATTTAATAAGCCTTCATTAAAGAGAGGGCCTCCGTTGTACGACCCGCGGTTGGCCAACTGTCCTTTCGCACCAACATGGGCGGTACCCGCATCTCCTATATTTTTCGTCTGGATGTCCCGTTCCTTCGGGTCCCAGCCGTGCCTATCTGACCAACCCAACCACACGGGGGTCCAACGGCAAGCCAACAGCCAAAGGGGTGACGAACCAGCTGCTCTGGTCCAGGTACCCCCCCTCTATATACATATGGCGCAGGCGCACGCAGGCATCTGGTTCCTTGCGGCCACCTGGGGTTGCAACACCAGAAGCCAGTTCTTTGGCGTCGCTTGCATTTTGGGGGGGGTCGCTTTTCGGAGGGAACGCTTTCCAACAAATGGGGTGTGTTTCCAAGGGGTGTGCCTTTCTTGGATGGGTTTGGAAGCTGCACCCATACTCAGGTTTCAATTTGGCCACCGGGGAGGAAGATACTGTGAAACAGGCCTTCCGCCTCACCTTGGAAGATAGCTTAAGCTCAGCAACAAGCAGAGCGGCAAGCACCAGCCATCCCTCCAAGCCCGTTGTGGCGTCATTTGGTCCTTCCGGTGCCCAAAGCCTCTCATTTGGGGACCATCTTGTTTGTTCTTTGAGGGGAACTGAGAACCCTGCCAACCATTTGTGCTTTGTCTGGCTTTACCTTCAGGTTTATGTTTTCGTCCGAGCAAGGGGAGGTGGCCTGGTGCACTGGGACCTCCCACGGCCGGCGTGGGCGCCAAGGCTAACATCACCAGCGCGCGCCGCGCCTGCGCACCGCAGGGACTCTGGCCAACTGCAAGAAAGGCCTGGTGGCCTTAGGAAAAATGGAATGAAACCATGGCAAACTTTTGTGTGTGCAGTGGTCTCCCTGTCACGCCTTCTGATTCAAAGGAACCATTCTGGGCAGCACTAGCTTTAGAGGCCCAAGTGGGTGTACTAAGATGGCTTGCCTCTTCGATCCTAGATTCCACGCCGCCCGCAACAGCCCTGACTCGAAGCCAGGCAGCGGGGTAGGACGCCAGCCTCCCTGCTGCGCAAATCTAGGTTCGCTCGGTCAAATGGAGAAATCCCTGTCGGACGCTTTACTAGGAAGAACATCATCGAGATCAATGGATGGGACTGAAGTCCGCAAAGTGCCTTTTTGATGCCCAGAGCGTCCGGTGACGTGCTCCCTCAACGTCCCACCCGAGTCTCCCCCCCTTGCCTGGGCGGAAAGATGGCCAGCATCGGCGCCAGCTTCTGATCGGATGAGCGCGTGGCTGTGCGGAAACAAAATGAGAATGGGGGCCAAAAGGAACCAAGATTTCGCCCCAAACATTTGGAAATCCAAGTACTTGGAATAAATACCTAAATCAGTCAAGTAGATCCGCGGATTCGGGGTGTGACTTGCCTTTGATCAATGCACAGTCCTCCTTGCAACCGGTTTCCTTGGTCAAGCAAGTACCGCGTCTCATCCCTTGCTGATCAGTCTGCTTGCTTGATCAACTACAGCAGGATAAGATCATGCACGTTGGAAGGGATGGATACGTGAACTGCTCAGATCAAACGGTGGGTGCAATGCCTGATTTTCCGGGACTTTGGGTGTTCCTGGTTGTTCATCAACTGGCCATCTCTTGGCCACTTCCGTCGGTAGCACTTGACTGGCCGCTGGACATGTGGCTGGTGAGTGTAGTCGGGCATGTGCCAAATACATGCACTCCCAAAAATGGCAGCTTGTTTGCAAACATGTTCAGTCCATGTAAGGGCGGCAATGTCGGCGTGATCAAAGGCAGCGCAATTGAAGCATCAACCACGACGCATTAAAACTGACCAAGGCTCAAAAATCCCCACGGGTTTCCCAGAAAGGCTACTCACTTTTGGGGAAGCCGCCTGTATAGTGTCAACCTATTCACTTCCACCAACGCCTTGTGTCCACTACCCCAAGCCCCTGACCTGGTCTTGGCACAAAGGCACGCTCACACGCCAGCGCGGCGAGCACAAGCACCTGGAGCAAAGGATGCCTTTGCGTCCCAAACCCACTTCGTGAGGTCGCACCAATTTGTCCAGGCCTTTCTGGAATTGTCTCAGAGCCAGAATGGAAGTGACAAGCTCTGATAAACGATGGTTCCAAAGCTGCCAACTGGTCCTGGCTTGACACTGGCCCACCGAATCCTGCCAAGATGGTGGCCTATTCCCAAAACACTACATTGCGCTTGTGGCGCAGATAAACCCAAGACTTCCTTTGGAAGAGACCCGTCGGCTGTGCATTGCATCCAATCGATCAACTAAAGTACACAAAGGGAATAGGCGATTCTCTGGGCACTCTGCCCACCAAAAAAAATACAAAAATACAAACAGACAGGGGCCCACAAAAATACAAAACCTTGGCCCTTTTCTGTGGAAACTGACTTCCACCTGAGCTCCTTCCTTCGATCAAGGCGCCGCGCCGAGCGCCCAAGTACGGCGCCCCGGCTTCCGTCCGGCGGCCTCGCGCGCGCGCGCCCCGTCCCTTTGGGGGGGGAACCTGCGAAACGAAAAACATTAAGCATTGGGAGTTTAGGTCACAGAGCTGATGAATGACCTTGAACCTATGAGCATGTGTATGTGTACATGTACATATATATATATATACATGCTACTATACATATATATATATATATGGTACCCCCCCAAATAAAGTAAAGTACAATATCTGGACCCATGAAAAGTAAAAAGGTAAAACCGCCAAAGGAAAAAGCACCCTAGTCTTTTTCACCTTTTCCCAATAAAAGTAAAAATCCTAGTCTTTTTTGCTTGGTCTCTGTTACTTTGCATTTGTTCACTTTTACTACCAAGATAGAAAAACGTATTTTTCCATGGTTTTTGCTCTAGTCTCTGCAAACACACACACACATTTGGTGCAAGTACAATGCATGTTTTTGAAGTTTTATGCTCACTGCATACATGCTAAAATATGCATTGTTGCAGCGTTTTTGCAACTTTTTATGCATGATTTCCCAGTGTGCTGAGTTCACCACATGAAAATATCTGCTAAACACAATGGCATCAGGTGCATCTGCAGACAAGAGTCTGTTCAAAAGGCATTCTTGCTCCGTTATCTCCTCCATAGCGATGGCTTCTGTGGATGTATGTGAGATCAACTTGGAGAAGGCTAAGACTGCCACCAAGTCTTTGGTCCTGCGCGACCTGCCAGCCCATGTCATGGTGGGGCCCATGCCGGTTGGCAGTGTGTCAGTGACTGACCTTCCTTTGAGAGATCTCGATCCCAACAGTCCTTATCTGAAGCACTACGCTGGCCTCACAGTCAGCTGGACATTGACAGGCCTTTGATGAACTTCCTGAGGCCATGCGGCCG